GTGTTTGTCATGGTGTGTGTGTTTGTCATGGTGTGTGTCTGTCTGTGTCATGTAATGTGTGTCTGTCTATGTCACAGTGTGTGTGTGTCTGTGCCACAATCTCTCTGTGTCGTGGTGTGTGTCTGTGTGTCATGGTGTGTCTGTCTGTGTCATGTGTGTGTCTGTGTCACGGTCTGTGTTATGGTGTGTGTGTCAAGGTGTGTGTGTCTTTTTTAAGGTGTGTGTTTGTCATGGTATGTGTGTGTCTCTGTCATGGTGTGTGTGTGTCTGTCATGGTGTGTGTCATGGTGTGTCTGTGTTTCTGTCTGTGTCATGGTGTGTGTCTGTGTCATGGTGTGTGTCTGTCATGGTATGTGTGTGTGTATGTGTGTGTTTTTACTCACCTTTTTTTTTTCCCCACGTCGTGCTGGTCTCCCCTCGACTGGCCCTGCCTCTACGGCTGAGATCATCAAGCTTGATGATCTCAGCCAATCCACACTGACACAGGAAGCACCTCTAGTGACCGTCTGAGTGTCTGTCACTAGGAAGCAATGTAAACACTGCCTTTTCTCTAAAAAGTCAGTGTTTACATTGAAAAGCCTGCAGGGACAGGCTATAGACACCAGAGCCACTACATTAAGCTGTGTGTGTGTGCGCGCCTGCTAGTGAGTGGGCTTGCTTGTGTGTGTGTGTGTGCCTGCTACTGAGTGAGCTTGTGTTTTTATTTGAATGACCTTATGTATATCAGTGAGATTGTTTGTCTATGAGGCTGTGTATCAATCAGCTTGTGTCAGTGAGATTGTCTGTGTCTGCATGTGAGTATGCTTACTGTATAATTAAACATTTTACTCTGAAAGGACCAATATTTTATATTGGAAAAAGATATATATATATATATATATATATATATATCAATCATCTAGGGTGGAAAGACATAGCCTTACATATTACATGCGACAATATATGGCGCAATGACTTATGGGGCTGGCATAGATTTTTTTTCCAGGGCTGCTTTGGAATCCCCAGTTCAGCCCTGCTAATGTCCCCCCCTGGCCCCCACCCCTGCGCGGTGGGTGGGGCCCTAAATAACAATAAGGGAGGGACCTACTGTCCTCCCCCCAGTCCGCACCCCTGAGCGGTGGGTGGGGGCCCTAAATAATAAGGGGGGGACCTAATGTCCTCCCCCCCCACCCCTGCGCGGCGGGTGGGGGCCCTAAATAACAATAAGAGGGGGACCTAATGTCCTCCCACCAGCCCCCACCCCTGCGTGGTGGGTGGGGGCCATAAATAGGAATTTGGGGGGACACCTACTGTTCTCGCCCCAGGCCCCCACCCGTGCGCGGCGGGTGGGGGCCCTAAATAACAATAAGGGGGGGACCTAATGTCCTCCCCCCGGCCCCACCCCTGCGCGGTGGGTGGGGGCCATAAATAAGAATTTGGGGGGGAACCTAATGTTCCCGCACCCCTGCGCGGCGGGTGGGGGCCCTAAATAACAATAAGGGGGGACCTAATGTCCTCCCCCCGGCCCCAACCCCTGAGCAGTGGGTGGGGGCCATAAATAAGAATCCCCCCAGGTGACTATGGGTCCCCAATCCCCTAGTCACCGCCCTCGCCCCAAAAAAACTACCCCTACCTACCCCCCTCATCTTAAAAATAATGAGGGGGGACCCTTTTCTAAATACCTGTAAAAAAAAAAATAGATTTACCATGTGATGTCTTCTTTCTTCTAAAATCTTCTTTTTCCAGCCCCAAAAAAGGCCAAATAAAAATCCAGAATAACCGACGCACTTTAAAAAAAACACAAAATAAAAATGAGCGCATAAAAAAAAAAATTCTTCTTCACCCATGGAGGGCTCCACGCAGACTGAGCTCTGCAGGGCGGGGCAAGGCTTATAAAGCCTTGCCCCGCCCTGCAATTAGGCTCAGAGCACTCTGAAATCCAGCCAATCAGAGTGCTCTGTGTCATTTTACATAGCGTGGGAAAGTTCTTTAGAATTTTCCCACGCTGTGTAATTTGACTCATAACACTCTGATTGGTGGATTAGTCTCTTTATTTACCTGTCAGAGCACTCTGATTGGATGGCTTAAACCCACCAATCAGAGTGCTCTGAGCCTAATTGCAGGGCGGGGCAAGGCTTTATAGGCCTTCCCCCGCCCTGCAGAGCTCAGTCTGCGCGGAGCCCTCCATGGGTGAAGAAGGATTATTTATTTTTTTGCGCTTTTTATTTATTTATTTTTTTAAAGTGCGTTGGTTATTCTGGATTTTTATTTGGCCTTTTTTGGGGCTGAAAAAATAAGCTTTTAGAAGAAAGAAGACATCAAATGGTAAGTCTATTTTTTTTTTTTTACAGGTATTTAGACAAGGGTCCCTCCTTATTATTTTTAGGATGAGGGGGGTGGGTAGGGGTAATTTTTTTGGGGGGAGGGTGGGTGACTAGGGTTTTGGGGACCCCTAGTCACCTGGGGGAGAATTTTTATTTATGGCCCCCACCCACCGCTCAGGGGTGGGGGCCAGGAAGGAGGACATTAGGTCCCCCCCCATATTGTTATTTCGGGCCCCCCACCCGCTGCGCAGGGGTGAGAGCCGGGGGGGACATTAGGTCCCCCCCCCCAATTTCTATTTATGGCCCCCACCCACCGCTCAGGGGTGGGGTCCGGGGGGCAGGACAGTAGGTCCCCTCCCCCTTATTTTTATTTAGGGCCCCCACCCGCTGCGCAGGGGTGGGGGCTAGGGGGAGGACATTAGGTTCCCCCCCCATTTTTATTTATGGCCCCCACCCACCACTCGGGGGGAGGACAATAGGTTCCCCCCTTATTGTTATTTAGGACCCCCGCTCAGGGGTGGGAGCCGGTGGGGGGCAATAGGTCCCCCCTTTAGTTTAAAAGCCCCCACTCGCACGTCGCAGGTGGGGGCTCAGGAGGGGGGAATTATTTTTTTTTTAACAGTGAGCAGCCACAGGCTGCTCACTGTTTAATAGACACGCCCCTACTCGCGGTATAGTGAGTAGGGGCATAATTTACTAATACTAAGTGACCAGCTTCTATAGAGGCTGGGTCACATGCTGCACTGGCCATTAGTAGGCATGGCTGTGACGGCTTCTAAGGGCACACGAGTCAAACGCTTGTTGATTGGCTGCCCTGCGGCCTTTCAAAACGCGTAATTAAATCGCCGAACTCCGAACTCCAACCCAAACATACAGTGATATGTCCGTTTTCAGGCCTGGTGTCCAAAAAGCGTAATGTTCGGTACGAACCCGAACTTTTCAGTTCGGGTTCGCTCAACTATACTTATAGGTTCTTCATAGTATCACAAGAAGGAGCCAGTGTCTTGACTGTTCATATGAAAAAACATGAATGGCGCTTGAGACTTAAGCACAATATTACTGAAGTGTCAAGAAATAAAAATGAATTGTGTTTTGAGTTCAAACAAGTAGTGATAATATGGTATAGCCTTGTGGATAATCACAAATATCACAATCAATTTCTGATGAAAGAAAGCAAAATGTATTCATAACCCATTAATATATACAAAGAAACAAAGATCAAACCATTAATCTCTAAATATGAAACTAAACAAATAAGACATAGATTGTCAACCTCAGGAAATTAATTTGTAGTTTTTAGAATAAATACATTTATTGCATCAATTAATATAGAATAGAGATAGCAAAAAAAAAGTATAGCTTAAGTAATTAAAGAAATTAATAATTATTAATTATGGGTGATGTAAGTTCTGCTAAGAAACAAACAAACCAAAAATGATAATTAACTAAATAGTGTTCTTCAGATAACTAAAATACATAGAGATTGGAATATAATTATATGAGTCATGTACTGCTTCAGCTCTTAAATAAAAGAGTAAAATGTACTTTATTAATAAATGGGGACTATAAAACTATTTATCATTTTAGATGATAATAGAAGTTATATAAATATACTATTTATTTATGAAATTATTTTTTATTTACCTTACCACAACTATTGCGCAATCAAGTAGAATAACAGCATCAGCAGGATATTGCTCTATGAGTTCAGTCTCCTTAAAAAATTATCTAGGCTAGCTTCTGAAGACCAGATCATGGTTCTGTTTCAAATGCAACTCTAGCTGACTGGGCTGACACTGGATGCTGTATGAGCTTTCAATTCTTCTGTACAAGGCATGTCGGATTTAGTGCTTCTCGCAGAGAGGCACTGGATTGGTGGATCACTGCAATTGTCATGCGTGTACTATGTATCCACAATGCTTCTTTATAAGAAGCACTTGATTGGACAAAAGACATTAGGCTTACTTCACAGTAAAATTGGGCTGCAGTGAGAAGTCTGCCTGGTGTTGGATTATATGTAATTGTAATAGATTTTTTAATTTTAACATTTCCACAATTATCCCAGAGTTCCCTTGTGACATGCAAATGAGCACAGACATGCACAGTGTTTCAGACTTTACTTTGCATTTCTGCAGTTACCCTTAGCAATGAACACTATTTTAAACACTGTTTTGTTAAACTCATAGCAAGAGTTGTGATCAAAAAAAAGGACAAGTGACCAGAAACCATCCATGATAGACAAAGAAGAGTTGGGTACATAAGGTGGTATCCAAAAGCCAGAACTTATTTCAGGAACTGATACAGCAATGTTTTGGCTCAATACCTGAGCCTTTATCAAGCCTGAGTGCACCAAAGTGGACTTTATCCTATTTCTATTGTGTACAACTCCAATATGGTGAACTAAACAGAAACCAGCCATGAACAGCGGTTTCGACCTTGTGTGTCTCATCAGCATGGTGCTGGTTGCTAACAGTAATTGCAGAAAAGTCTGGAACACAATGCCTGTCTGTGCTCATTTGCATGTCAAGCTTGAAACTTTGGGATAGTTGTGGAAACAGGATTTGAATGTTACTTTAATAAGCACATACTGCTTTTTATATGAACTGTAACTATAAGTTACTTTTGCTTCTGTAAAATAGACAAATGTTTAAATGTTTTAGTGGGATGTTGATACATTTTTGTAATCCTTTCTATTAATGTAAGGCAAGTATTACGTGAATAAAATCTTAACAGTATTTTTCAAATCCAACATGTGTGTATTCTACCAGAAGTTTAATGTAACTCGAAGGCATGACCTGGTTCACATATGGCTCATCTTAAAAACCTATGCTGGTTGTACATAAATCAGTGACATGGAGCATGAACTACGACTTAAAGTTCAGTTTATTGCTGCCTCAAA